GAAATGACAAAGTTTGACCGCAATAGCTTGAAAGTTGTTACAAAAGTTTGAAATCAGCTCGGCTCTGTGTCACCCCAGGCTAAATAAGGTTAAGACAAATTCTGTGGTCGTGACATGGACATTAATAGTGCTAGAGCATAATGTAGCGGCAATAAAACTCATGCAAGGCAAGCTCTACGACAATGGGATTTAATAGCAATTAATAACATAAAGAACCAAATCTATAGCTTTGTTGGCCTACTTACATTCGGTTGCAGTAGGGTTTGTTATCACATGCAGGGTCAGGATTTCCGTCTTAGATTTCGAGGGATTATGCTCGGCGAAGGTAGTTTGTAAACACATAAGTACAATTTCTTTCTTGTAGCCATCCTTATCTTCTTCCCGTTATAAAACGTGTTCCCGTCAAGACTACAGTTTCATCATATTGCCAGTGTTCAAGTTGTTAAATTATTTAGTCGGTAAGGAAAGAGAGAAGAGTCATTGACATGCATATTCGTTTATTTGACAGAAAAAGAAAATTTACTCTTTGAAGTGAGGGAGAGAGAATGGCTACTGAATGCCGAGCTTGAAGAAGAGAGAGCAATAACCAACCTCAAGATGCAAAAAGGTAAGATTTATAAGGTAAAGCTGGCGTCATTTTTCCATTCTTTTTCGACTGAATTTTACCCACGTGATTCACAACATCGAGTTCGATGTGCGAACACAGTTCTGCCGGTGATGACTGATTCCTTCGTGCTTTTAAAGCGGACCTCCGGCGCCGCGAGGGGGCGCCAAGCGGAGCACCATAACTATAGGAACAGGATCACTTACATGCATAGAAATAGAAACCCATGCAACTATTTTTTCATGGTCAACATGGTTAGTGGCATGGTTCGCGGGCGCGTGCGCCCAACGACGACGACGGCGTCGCGCAACATGTTATCGTCAATTGACACTTGTCAAAACAAGGTATCGGCAGTCCAGTATCACGTGCCAATATCGCGGGTTCAGGTTCAGAGCTCATTTAGGTCATGTGACCAAGTACTGGTTTTCGATTGGATCGCAGGCTCATGTCAGGTTAATTTGGCTGTTCGGAAGCCGCTAACGCAGGATCAAAAGTTAACCGACGTATAAATTTTTCTTGTATACAAATGTTTTTCACTCCTTTTAGGTCATGTAGGCCAAACAATATAAACAGAAAACCTCACCGCAAAGTTACAAAACTCAATTCAAAATTCTCGCTTATCCTGGGTTAGCATAATCAGGCTTTCAACAACCCGGCCCAGGAGCTCCGCTCTTAGGCTTGGCTAGATCTATATCGCCAGGAGGGACGGAAAAAAATCGGTTATCCTCAATCCTGACCAGAATTTAGGTCTGGTGGAGCAACTCTATGTTCAATCAGATTTTTCTTAGAACGGTGACGATGACACCAATTTTCAAGTGGTGTTTAAACTGAACACAAAAAAAAAACATAAAAAATTATCCAGAAATAAACAATATGATATTCAAACAGCAAATAATTATTGTAAAGAGAAAAGATTGCTTAAGAATTTGAATAGTAACATGAATTTGGCTGCAAACACGATATTTTCGGGATTTTTTCGGTTTTCGGCATGTCTATTTTACTGATTTTGCGTGACAAATACTCCACATTGCTTCTCAGCTACGAAGGATTTAAACACACTCAGCCAATTCTCATTTTCTCCTACCCCGTCAATTGTAAAGAATCGCAGATTGCTTGAGTCAGTCAGACGTCGGTGTTCAATAATAATATTTGTTTTCCGGTCTTTTGCATTTGTTTTCATGTTCTCTTACTTTCTCTCCGGCAGTTCTAACCTTATCAACTTGAGCGTTAAGCTCATGAAGACAATCTTGCATTTCTTTAACAGTTTCCCTTTTGGTCGATTAAGCATTTTCAAGCTTTTCTTCTTCCTTCCTAATGGTTATTATTTTCCTTCCAGATTCGGCATTGCTGAACCATGTTCTGAAGCTTTTCATCAATATCTTCTAGCCTTGAGGGCATAATGTCAACTTCTAGATTAAACTCTAAATTAGTCGCCATTTTCGAAACGGCCGAGTTCACATCTGCTAAACGTTCGGGTGGGAGGTTAGAGCTTGAAAGAAGCCACCTTGATCTGGTGTCCGCTGGCGAACTGCAAAAATCACTTGAATCAGTTTGAGTCAGCCGAAACATTGTTTAAAAAAACGGAAACCATAGGGAGCGGCGAAGGAGACATCTCCTTGCCCCGCATGCCTCGACCAAGTAGCTACTGTTCTACCGTTCTACTGTTACTTTTCTGTGCAGAGCTGCACCCTTTTTCTTTTTATATTCTAATCACAAGTGAATATATGAAATATCATGCCGTAAACCTCCGACCAACCCACCAAAAGAATGCCATCCCCATCTTAGTCCTTCAACCAATGCTACAAACTGCACGAAGGCGGTCTGTTCATTTCCCCCAACGAGACTACTAGTACTGTACTCTCTTCTTGGGGAAAGCTAATTGCTAGGGATCTTTAGAGCTTGAATATTGCTCATGTTAGCCTGAATAACGCTCAGGTTAGCCTGTTGTCGGTTAGATCTTAATAATAGCGTTTAGTAGGTGGTTTCCAGCGATTTATTCCGTAAACGTAACGAAACATAGCATTTCCTTGACAGGCCAACTGTATCTCAAAAACAAGCACATGGAACATCAATAGACGGAGTTCTAGTCCCTGCAACACTAGAACCCAGTGTCCACGTGTCCAGTAAATCTTAATTGCAAATGGCAAAAAAAAGATAACTTTCAGTTCGGACCAGAAGGTACCTGCCACTGAAGTTGCCTTTATTCACTTCTGCATAGGCGGTGTAAGACAAGTAAGCCCCTGCTAAATATTGGCCATGTCAGTCTTCCTGCATCTTCATTATCAAACACTTCTCTTTACATAGTAAATCGTCTCGATGCCCTCATGTGGATGCAATGTGCATCTGTATTGTCTAAGAATTGGTCCGTTTTTGTTTTCACGGGGTTAAATTAGTCCCGTTAGTACACCATTTTCTCAGCAGTATGCGATTGATAATTCTTTCAGCTGGTTGGAGATTAGACTGTTCTTGGACTTTTTTCCTACAGCTGAACTCCTTAAGACGCGAAATGAGCCGTTTAGAACAGAGCAAATTCTGTTAATACAGCACCGCAACGTCGTAGGCGNCAAAATGACCATCTTTTTGATTTAGAAAAACGTTCACAAAATAACGTGACAACAGCTCCAAAACTAAAAGAGATGTTTCAGCTTTAAAACACGCTAAATTTCGGTGAAACAACCTTCGAGAACATGCTTACCATAGAAACGTAAAGTTGGTTGAGAGAACAGCTGACACATCAAAAATATTTGCCGACAAATTTTAGAAGAAATGACAAAGTTTGACCGCAATAGCTTGAAAGTTGTTACAAAAGTTTGAAATCAGCTCGGCTCTGTGTCACCCCAGGCTAAATAAGGTTAAGACAAATTCTGTGGTCGTGACATGGACATTAATAGTGCTAGAGCATAATGTAGCGGCAATAAAACTCATGCAAGGCAAGCTCTACGACAATGGGATTTAATAGCAATTAATAACATAAAGAACCAAATCTATAGCTTTGTTGGCCTACTTACATTCGGTTGCAGTAGGGTTTGTTATCACATGCAGGGTCAGGATTTCCGTCGTAGATTTCGAGGGATTATGCTCGGCGAAGGTAGTTTGTAAACACATAAGTACAATTTCTTTCTTGTAGCCATCCTTATCTTCTTCCCGTTATAAAACGTGTTCCCGTCAAGACTACAGTTTCATCATATTGCCAGTGTTCAAGTTGTTAAATTATTTAGTCGGTAAGGAAAGAGAGAAGAGTCATTGACATGCATATTCGTTTATTTGACAGAAAAAGAAAATTTACTCTTTGAAGTGAGGGAGAGAGAATGGCTACTGAATGCCGAGCTTGAAGAAGAGAGAGCAATAACCAACCTCAAGATGCAAAAAGGTAAGATTTATAAGGTAAAGCTGGCGTCATTTTTCCATTCTTTTTCGACTGAATTTTACCCACGTGATTCACAACATCGAGTTCGATGTGCGAACACAGTTCTGCCGGTGATGACTGATTCCTTCGTGCTTTTAAAGCGGACCTCCGGCGCCGCGAGGGACCGCCAAGCGGAGCACCATAACTATAGGAACAGGATCACTTACATGCATAGAAATAGAAACCCATGCAACTATTTTTTCATGGTCAACATGGTTAGCGGCATGGTTCGCGGGCGCGTGCGCCCAACGACGACGACGGCGTCGCGCAACATGTTATCATCAATTGACACCTGTCAAAACAAGGTATCGGCAGTCCAGTATCACGTGCCAATATCGCGGGTTCAGGTTCAGAGCTCATTTAGGTCATGTGACCAAGTACTGGTTTTCGATTGGATCGCAGGCTCATGTCAGGTTAATTTGGCTGTTCGGAAGCCGCTAACGCAGGATCAAAAGTTAACCGACGTATAAATTTTTCTTGTATACAAATGTTTTTCACTCCTTTTAGGTCATGTAGGCCAAACAATATAAACAGAAAACCTCACCGCAAAGTTACAAAACTCAATTCAAAATTCTCGCTTATCCTGGGTTAGCATAATCAGGCTTTCAACAACCCGGCCCAGGAGCTCCGCTCTTAGGCTTGGCTAGATCTATATCGCCAGGAGGGATGGAAAAAAATCGGTTATCCTCAATCCTGACCAGAATTTAGGTCTGGTGGAGCAACTCTATATTCAATCAGATTTTTCTTAGAACGGTGACGATGACACCAATTTTCAAGTGGTGTTTAAACTGAACACAAAAAAACATAAAAAATTACCCAGAAATAAACAATATGATATTCAAACAGCAAATAATTATTGAAAAGAGAAAAGATTGCTTAAGAATTTGAATAGTAACATGAATTTGGCTGCAAACACGATATTTTCGGGATTTTTTCGGTTTTCGGCATGTCTATTTTACTGATTTTGCGTGACAAATACTCCACATTACTTCTCAGCTACGAAGGATTTAAACACACTCAGCCAATTCTCATTTTCTCCTACCCCGTCAATTGCAAAGAATCGCAGATTGCTTGAGTCAGTCAGACGTCGGTGTTCAATAATAATATTTGTTTTCCGGTCTTTTGCATTTGTTTTCATGTTCTCTTACTTTCTCTCCGGCAGTTCTAACCTTATCAACTTGAGCGTTAAGCTCATGAAGACAATCTTGCATTTCTTTAACAGTTTCCCTTTTGGTCGATTAAGCATTTTCAAGCTTTTCTTCTTCCTTCCTAATGGTTATTATTTTCCTTCCAGATTCGGCATTGCTGAACCATGTTCTGAAGCTTTTCATCAATATCTTCTAGCCCTGAGGGCATAACGTCAACTTATAGATTAAACTCTAAATTAGTCGCCATTTTCGAAACGGCCGAGTTCACATCTGCTGAACGTTCGGGTGGGGGGTTAGAGCTTGAAAGAAGCCACCTTGATCTGGTGTCCGCTGGCGAACTGCAAAAGTCACTCGGATCAGTTTGAGTCACCCGAAACATTGTTTAAAAACGGAAACTATAAGGGGCGGCGAAGGAGACGTCTACTTGCCCCGCATGCCTCGACCAAGTAGCTACTGTTCTACCGTTCTACTGTTACTGTTCTGTGAAAAGCTACACCCTTTTTCTTTTTAATATTCTAATCACAAGTGAATATATGAAATATCATGCCGTAAACCTCCGACCAACCCACCAAAAGAAGGCCATCCCCATCTTAATTCTTCAAGCAATGCTACAAACTGCACGAAGGCGGTCTGTTCATTTCCCTCAACGAGACTACTAGTACTGTACTCTCTTCCTGGGGAACTTAATTGCTAGGGACCTTTAGAGCTTGAATATTGCTCATGTTAGCCTGAATAACCCTCAGGTTAGCCGGTTTTCGGTTAGATCTTAATAACAGCGTTTAGTAGATGGTTTCCAGCGATTTATTCCGTAAACACGACGAAACATAGCATTTCCTCGACAGACCAACTGTATCTCAAAAACAAGCACATGGAACATCAATAGACGGGGTTTTAGTCCCTGCAATACTAGAACCCAGTGTCCACGTGTCCAATAAATCTTAATTGCAAATAGCGAAAAAAGGTAACTTTCAGTTTGGAAGAGAAGGTACCTGCCACTGAAATTGCCTTTCATTCACGTCTGCATAGGCGGTGTAAGACAGGTAAGCCCCTGCTAAATATTGGCCATGTCAGTCTTCCTGCATCTTCATTATCAAACACTTCTCTTTACATAGTAAATCGTCTCGATGCCCTCATGTGGATGCAATGTGCATCTGTATTGTNCCAACTGTATCTCAAAAACAAGCACATGGAACATCAATAGACGGAGTTCTAGTCCCTGCAACACTAGAACCCAGTGTCCACGTGTCCAGTAAATCTTAATTGCAAATGGCAAAAAAAAGATAACTTTCAGTTCGGACCAGAAGGTACCTGCCACTGAAGTTGCCTTTATTCACTTCTGCATAGGCGGTGTAAGACAAGTAAGCCCCTGCTAAATATTGGCCATGTCAGTCTTCCTGCATCTTCATTATCAAACACTTCTCTTTACATAGTAAATCGTCTCGATGCCCTCATGTGGATGCAATGTGCATCTGTATTGTCTAAGAATTGGTCCGTTTTAGTTTTCACGGGGTTAAATTAGTCCCGTTAGTACACCATTTTCTCAGCAGTATGCGATTGATAATTCTTTCAGCTGGTTGGAGATTAGACTGTTCTTGGATTTTTTTCCTACAGCTGAACTCCTTAAGACGCGAAATGAGCCGTTTACAACAGAGCAAATTCTGTTAATACAGCACCGCAACGTCGTAGGCGTCTGCTGGCGAGAGCTTGGAATAGCACTTGGAATTGACCCAAGAAGACTTGACAGTCTAACACAAAATTATAACCTCGACAGCGAAAGGGCTTATCAAGTCTTAAAAATGTGGATAGGTGATAATGGAAACAATGCTACGGTAGGCCGCCTTGCATGTGCTCTTCTTGACATTGGAAAAGAAGAGATTGCAAAGAGGCTCCTCGGTATGTAAACCAGTATGTAAATCATTTCTCTGTGAAGTCTTTTGCTATCGTAAAATTGCTAATTACCCAGTTGATAGAGCTACGGTTTAGGTCTCGATATATTAGCTTTTCTTTAAGTTGTTGAAATGACTTTTGAGCAAACAATATGACTTTTTAGTATTTCAACAAAAAATACCAAAAACTTACAAACTTCGTTTTGTCTTAAGGTTTCATCCAATTTTGAAGGGGAGTTATTATGCATCGTTTGAATAGATCAGGATTAATTAAAATAAGGAACAGCACATGTACTAAAATCACGGGGAGATTAAGATAAGTTACATTGACATTCTCTTGCTAGAGAATATTGAAGCTCTTTTTCGCTTCCGCCTGGAGTAGGAGTACACACGTGGTATTAGAGTATTGATCTCTATCTTGATTGGCTTGGCCGGGAAGGCGTACAGCATAGAGGTTTGATGAGATAATTATTGAGCCCCTTACCGTCTTCTTAGGGCCGATTTACACGGTACGACTTTGTCGCATGCGACAAGTTTACGACAGGCCTACGACATGAATTGTTTCGTGTAAATCAAACCAGCAACTCGTTTATGACTGTTGTGTACGTCAAAAAAGTGTCGTAGGATTTTAAAACATGTTTTAAAACGCTGCGACAAGCGTAGTCGAAATCGATAGAAAATGATGTATTTTGTGACAACTTTCTACTGAGTAGGGGCGGAGGTGAAGTTTCTTGCGTCAAAAGGGCGGACTGATTCATATGAAGTCGTTTCTCGAAAAGTACTAAACGGATTAAAGCGAAAAACATCTCGTTAGAAAGTTTTTTCAAAACGCAGGACAGCTTAAATATATTTTTTACCGTTAATTAGAACTTTCGCTGCGTAAATCCCGGTGCAAACTTTTGTATATTTAATTTTGTAAGTGAAAATGTCGTGCGCGTGTAAATGGTCCTAAGTCACTGGGTCGTAGGCCTGTCGTAAGCTTGTCGCATGGGACAAAGTCGTACCGTGTAAATCGGCCCTTAGATCAACGTTTTGTATAGAACTCCACTGGTAAATTTGATTTTCAACAGTGTTTCCCAATACCAATGCGCCCTTCTTGCCTCAATAGTTCTAATAAGATTGGCTGCACCAATGTGTATCATTTTAGCTACCTTTGCTTTTTTTTTTTCTCTCTTCTTTCTTTTCAAACTATTTTACAAAGGTGACAAGTCTAAGCGACCGACTCAATGGGAAGGAGAAGAGTCTGAGCAGCTGAATGGAAGGGAAGGAGAAGAGTCTGAGCGACCGATTGAACGGAAACTTACAGACGACATTTTAAGCTTACAAGCAGAAGTTAAAAAATTGGGAAAAATCGTTAATAAACGAGAAAGAAAAGAGAAGGAGAGTGAAGAGTTGCAAAAAAAGATGATAGAAGAATGGGAAGAGATGAAACGACAATCCCAAGATATACTTAACACAAACGCAAGCAAGTATCAACTAGCTAAAATAATTGGTATACGCATTCCATGTTTTCAAAAGTGCTTTTATTTTGAATTCAAAGTATTTTAGATCAACGTTTCGAGTAAAATAACTTTTTCAATTTGATTATAGAATGTAAACTAAACACAAATGAAAGCAAGTATCGTGTAGCTTATATAATTGTTAACTGGTGTTTGAAAAAGTGCTGTACTTTCAAATTATGTAAGATCAATGTTTTGAGTAAGATTACTTTATCAGCTTCACCATGGAATATGAACGTTGACTCAGAAAAACAATTTTTATATATTCTTAAAAACTGAAAAATGACTGAAAATGGTTAACAAACAAAAATTAAGAAGTGCATCCTAATAACAATTCAATATGCTTGCGTCAAAGAATTTAAGAATTAGTTCTAATCGGATTGGCAGCGTCAATGGATACCATTTAAATTACTTTTTTTCTTGTTGTTTTCTTATTTATTTATTTTTTTGGCGGGGGGGGGGGGGGGNTTTTCTTTTCTTTTTTTCATTCGTTTACCGAGGTGCAATGCGTTTTTACTTACATAATATTTAAGATCAATGTTTCGAGTAAGATTACTTTATCAGGTGAATTATACAATAGCAGCTTTAAGCTCTTTTTAAAAATTTTTACATACACAATTGCTAGTTTTCCCAAACAAAGATGGCAACCATTCAATGCATGTTAAGTCAAGCAAGTCTAGGCAAGTTCCCTTCTCGCTTCATATTTTGAAGCACACGAACGATGAGATTGCATGGCGCATGGTGAAAGCACAGAGTTCAATTTGCTGATGTAAATCTGTAGCTTCATTGACCACTAGTTGATTGCTTGATAAAAAGATAAGAGCAGCTTCCTGTATTTCATCGATCAACTTCAGTTTTGAAATCAGTAGTATGGAGTTGGCTTCCTTTGAACATGTTTGTATTTGATCGTTAGGTCAAATGCAAAAACAATCATAAAATAATTTTATTTAAATTGCCTCTGATACCATATGGAAACAGCGTCATATATGACTTGTTTTCTTCTCTCTTTAGCCTTATGTCAGGATGTACAGTCGAAGCAACCCACTGAAAGCAAAAAAAAAGCGGAGGACATATTTAGCCTGCTAGCGGAAGTCAGAGAATTGAGAGCAGTTGCCACTGAAAAAGAGAGAAGTTTGCAACAAAAGTATAATGAAGACTTGAAAAACATGTTAAAGCAGTGTAAGCAGATGAACATCCAAGTCCAGAATCTTAAGAAAAACGAAAGTAAGAATCCATAAGCGTGAATAATTAGTATAATGTGTTTTATGATTAGTTTTCTCTTTCTTAACATCTGAGATATATGTCTTTATTAGTTTGATTATAGAATATCAATGTTAATCTCGTTTTTTGTTAGCCAGAGACCAAAGTAGACGATATAAAAATTCACAGCAATGTCAGTCTTTTTTTCTTCTGCACTTTCAAAACTTCCTTTTAGTGCTTTTCTCTGCCTTTCATTTTCACATTATTACTTCAAGCGGTGATTTTTAGTCCTTTAGTTCTAAAATATTTATTGTCTGAGTTAACACGAACCTTCGATTAATCCCGTTTGCTTGTAAGTCTCTCTTGTAGAAGTGATGGTACCATCTGAATAGTCAGTGTTCCAGTGCGTCTTGCATTGTCAGGGTCCTCGAAATTTTTAGGCGTGTTAGCCCTGCCGTGTTCATGTACCGTGTTTTGGATACTACGTGTTATCAGATGGGTTTAAACTCTCTGTTTATGCACGGCTGATGCACGGGGTGTCACCTTTTCCCTCGACAGGACTCGTTTAATGTACAACGTCTGTGTCCGCGAATTATAACGAAATTCCAAATCGTCTCATTTTTTCCCATATGTAATTACTTTGCTTTTATTGTTTGAAGATTTTTATTTCCCTCTATGAATGCAAACCATCTCTTAGTTGCATCACTGTTAGGTCGAAACTGCTGATCGATTGATGATTAACGTGGGCTCGAAAGAAGGTTAAAAGATTTGTACAGCGAGCAACAGCGAGCGACTACGAATTCAAATGGTTATTGTTTTCCGCTAGAAATCACTCAATATGCTCACCAAATTACTTGTTTTACTGGCCATGTCATTTATTCATGGCTATTTTTGTTGGTGTACGGGTTTTTTCATCCTCACTTTTCACTGAGGTCAGGAGATCCCTTGGCGCGTACTCGTGCTCGTAAAAGTCATCTGAATACAAAGCGCATGGTTTGCAGTTCTAAAACCTTTTAGCGATCGGAATCGCCATTTTGGTCAGTTTGGGTCGTGCTGTCGTGAGAATAATTGCTATCCTCTAAAATTCAAGGATTTTTTTTTACTGCAATGAAGAAACAAAGATGTTTGTAATAACTCAAGTCCTAATGACAGAAACATCGATATCAGAATGGCCCTGGAATTCTAAAGGATAGGAGTGGATTTGGTCTCCTTTGCTAGAAAATAAGTTGATTATACATGTAGTTATTTATTTGTAAAGTAATGTATGTGTATAGAACACATTCAGTTTTTTGTTAGAATTCATTACAGTCGCAACGATCAAGACAGCTCAAGTGTTCTATCGATCTAAATAAGCGTAATGGTTATTTCTAAATTAATTATTCTCATAAATCACAACATACAAACTCCTCAAATCCTTTTGGCCACCCTTGTCAAATGTATTACATGACACATGACCGTTTCAAATATCTCGAGTTGGTTTAAAAGCCATTTCGATTAGTTAAAGTGACTCTGTATATGAGGTAAAAATAATTGTTGCTTGTTTGAAAGGCGTCTCAAGATAACGAAGAATGGCGTCTTTCTTTTTGAAATTTCTTCTTTCGTTTTAGAGATATTCACGCTTTTGCATTATGCAAATGAGAAAAGTGATGACGTCTAAATTTTATTTTAAGTTCAATTAATGCTATATCAGCAACAGTTTGACAACAACATGACAACAGTTTATTTTTCTACTACTGTAAACAACTAAAAGAATTTACAAGGTTATAATTATAAATAAATAAATAAACAGTACAGTACAGTACAGTACAGTACATACAGTAGTGGGACATCCAAAATAACTAAAAAGCTAAACTAATCAGTACAAAATTGTGGGTGAAATTCTAAATCCAGAATGCAATTGGGGGACGATAAATGCAGTTAACACTATGTACATTGTCCTGCGTTGAACGTATAGAATATTTTATTGCTAAGAGGAAAGGCAAGCTCAAAATTTCGCCCACAAAAGTTGAAAATTCTTAAGTTGTCTTCATGCAACTATTCACAGAAGTTAAACCTCCCTGTTTTATTGTTAATAATGTTCATGAAAAAATTTCTCGATTCTGATTGGCTGAGAGCAGTGCAGTTCAAGTGTAACACCAGTGCAAAAAGTGTAATTCAAGTGCAAATTACACATCGTAATTCTGGATTGTAATTGGCTGAAAGACAATAGGAAATTTTCTAAGCCAATGATATCACGTAGAATGATGAGGAAATTTTGTGCAGAAACTTTGAAAAAGTTTTCTCGAATGAGAAAAAATGGCTTCAAGAAAGATCTTTCGGCATTTCCTTCATGCGAATTTTTTCATGTTAATATTATTAATAAGCAATCATACGGTTTTTCTCGTTCAATTTCGAATTAATTTGCAGTTGTGAGTTTTCCAAAAGCTGAAATTGCACTCGTCGAAGCGGTTCTTAATGTTAATAATTAAATATATTGTCATTAGCGTTAAGAACTTATATTAGTATATGTAATAGGACTACATGCTGTCCAATTTGGAAATAATTGGATGAAAAAAATTCTGAGGACAGCCAAAATTGGACGAGGCGGTAGGCCGAGTCCAATTTGGCTGTCAAAGGAATTTTTTTCATCCAATTATTTCCAAAATTAGACAGGATGTAGTCCTCTTACTTATTAATTATATAGCTAGTCAGTTATTGGGCATTCCTCAGTCAAGCTATTATCCTTAAAGAAAGGCAAACTAAAATATTGTGAATTATTTTCATTGCCAATGTATTCAGAATAGAACGCCATAATCACACAGAATAACAATAATATAATGGAAGATAAGAATAAGAAAATAAGAATACTGTAAGAACACTGTAAATTAAAGTGTAAAGTGAAAGCAAAGGATTTTTTAAATATACAATATTATTTTCAAAATATCCAGTATGACATAGAATAAAATAGGGTTTGTAGCAATAGAAAACTTGCAATATTGAATGAGGAGTAGAGAAATTTATGATAAGAAAATAATGGAATAAAATATTAAATTTCGAAGGTGTAAAAAAATCTTTGTTTTTTTTTTTTACTTTTCAAATTATTCAATACTGAAAGCAGCTATAAATAGAAAAAAATTATTATGTACACAAGCAAACATTAAAGAGGGCAAAATTACCGTCAATAATGCTATTAAACCCATTTGAGGTACAAAAAAAATGTAAAGTCAACAATAGCTAGTCCTCGTCTGAGTCTGAGAGAACAGGAGCTCTGACCTTTTCCATGAACGCTGAGGTTCTGTGCTTTGGTAAGATGGTATTTGCACATTAGATGGCCCAGGAAACCCAGGAAACTCACCGTAAAAGTTCATTGTACCTGTGAAGTTATTGATAGTGCTGAAGTTGTTGCTGGAAGTACGAGCTTGATGAGGTAGTCTCTCTTTTATAGTAGGGCTGCTGTTACTTTGTTGTTGAGTGTCACTCTTTTGCTTGCATCCACTGATTATTAGTTCGTATAGTGTGATCGTCCGGGTGAGGGTAGTTCTGAAAAGAACTGTTGTCGGTGACTGACGTTTTGACAACCTGAGCGGCAGTCATCTTCAGAGTAGTCAAGTGAATAGTGTTTGTCAGTCGATGATGTCCGAGGGTCCACCGACGACGAAATTGCAGATCCTAAACGTGTCAACATGGCGTCCGCAGACTTTCAGCCTGCAGATGCAGTGGAGCGGAAAGACGACCAACCCGACCTCTCGGATACCCATGCATTACTGAAAGATCTTCTAAAATCAATGGACAAACTTTCTAATGAAGTTACGGAGCTAAAAACCTCTTTCAAGCAACAGGAATCTGAGCTAAGAACTGCCAAAGAATCACTAAACGCAGCGCTCAAGTACAACGACGAACTCAAATTGGAATTGAAAGCGACTAAAGCACGGGTGAAAGAGCAGGAAGAAGAAATCGACGAGCTTTACGAAAATATGGACACGCTCGAACAGTATAAGAGAAAAAATTCCCTCGAGATTGAGGGCATTCCTGAAAATGTTTGCAACGACGAAGATCCAGTTTTGAAAATCGCAGAAGCCCTAAACGTCAACGTTAAGCGAGAAGATATCGACATCTCTCACAGGATCAAAAGAAAAAAGACGACGCCTATCATAGCAAGATTTATTAGCCACAAAGTTAAGAGGGCACTCTACAAGCAACGAGTTCAACTAAGGAATGTCAGTTTCTCGCAATTCTTCCCGAGCGCACCTGCAGCAGCAAGGGCCTCTTCAAACCGCATATTTATTAACGAGAATTTGACAACATACCGGCGAAACCTGGTGCGGATTGTCAACGGAAGGAAGGAAGACGGATTACTTAAAGGAGTGTGGACTGTAGACGGAAAAATCTTTGTCAAGACTTCACCCGAGGGTAGGCCGATCCGAATTAATACAGAGGATGATTTAAATAATCTTTAGGTTAATATAGATTGCTGGTAAGTTGCCACCAGTACTGGAACTATGTAATAAATGAGGGAAGTCTCAAGGTGGTCTAAGAAAGCATAGCGAGAAGCTTAATCTTTTTAATTTTTCTTTAGTTTATTTAGTGGAACTAGCGTTTGTTGTTATTTTTTGTGTGTGTGTCTGTTTTTCCAAACTACACAATTACATTCCAATGCAAAATAACTTAATGTGCAAAGCCATCTCACCCAACGTAAGGGGAATACGCGATCAAGCGAAGAGAAGGAGCATCTTTTCATATTTAAAAGATCAAAAGGCAAGCATTTACTTTCTTCAGGAAACTTACTCTCAATTAAAAGACGAAACATTTTGGCAAAACGAATGGGGAGGCAAAATGTATTTCTCCCATGGGTCTCGACACAGCAAAGGCACTTGCATATTAATAGACCCTTCAATAAGCTATAATGTACAATACTCTTATAGTAACAATTCAGGAAGAATTGTTCTCATTACAGTCAATATAAATGGGCAGAAAGTTTCATTCTGCAATATCTATGCACCAAATAATCCATCGGAGCAATTAGAATTCATCCAAGAACTGAATAATTGCATCATTGATAAATCTAAATTGACCAACCACATTGTTGAAGGTGATTGGAACTGCACATTAACAAAAAAAGATAAAAAAGGTGGAACACTGTGGAAACCAACACAATTCAGGCATTTACTCTTGATGACAATGGAAATTTTTGATTTAATAGATATACAAAGAGCTCGCTACCCAAATTTGAACACTTATTCCTACGTGTCCAAAGCTTTAAATGTTAAGTCTAGATTGGATTTTATTTTAATCGCAAAGAATCTTTCAAAACACGTCAAAAGCACCGGAATTAGGGCCTCAATAGCTCCGGATCACAAAACAGTTCATCTTTGTTTATCATGGCCAAACAACTCGCCAAGGGGGCCAGGATTTTGGAAGTTCAATAGCACCATATTGAAGGACGAAAATTACACAGGTGAAATCTGGGAATTAATTCCTCGAATACTTGAGAAATACGAGTCTTTGAAGGACAAAAGATTAGCATGGGAATTAATTAAAATGGAAATTTGCGACCACACCGTGTCTTTCGCGAAAAGAAAAGCTAGAGATGCTTTTCAGCGGGAATCTGAAATTTCTAAACAATTGGAAGAGCTTGATTATAAAATATGTAACAGTGATAATTTATCAAACATAGATGATATTTTAAATGAATACGAGAGCTTTAAAATAGAAATGCGGACAATATATGAAGAAAAAGGACGCGCGGCTATCTTCCGATCTAGATGCCGATGGGTAGAGTAAGGATAGCGACCGACCAAATACTTTTTCAATTTAGAAAAACGAAACTACAACAGGAAAACAATTACCGAACTCCAAACTGACGATAACGAAATAATAAAGGACAAAGACAAAATTTTAGAAACAATAGAGAAATTTTACCAAGATTTATACAGCTCCAAAACAACGGTGTCCCAAGTGGATTTTGATGAATTTATTGGGGATATCGAAATTCCAAAGCTTCGTAACGAAGAAAAGAGCGAACTGGAAAGGCTTTTCACTTTGGAAGAATGTAAGAAGGTGTTAGAAACATTCGAAGGCAATAAATCTCCAGCCGAAGATGGATTTACCGCTGAGTTCTATAAACACTTCTTCGATCTAGTAGGAACTGATCTCATAAACAGTCTAAACCAAGCCTTTGAAGTTGGAGAACTCTCCATTTCACAGCGAAGAGGCGTTATTACATGATACCCAAGGAAGAATCCAATTTATTAGACCTACAGAATTGGAGACCTATAACTTGACTCAACATAGATTATAAGATCGCATCTAAAACTTTGGCTAAAAGAATAGAGACTGTACTTCCAAAATTAGAGCACTCTGATCAAACTGGATTTATGAAAGGTCGTTATATTGGAGAGAATATACGATTGATAAACGATGTAATGGAGTACACCATGGCGGAGAAAAAAGGAGGAATTTTGGTGTCATTGGATTTTAAAAAAGCTTTTGACACTTTAGAATGGCAGTTCGTAAAGAAGATATTAGGGCTTTTCAATTTTGGTGAGAATGTCAAGAAGTGGGTTAGAATCTTTTATGCTAATATTGAAAGCACTGTAATTAATATGGTTTCGCCACCAACTGGTTTAAACCAACAAGGAGGGTCAGACAAGGCTGTCCGCTTTCCCCGTATCTCTTCATACTTGGGGCCGAAATATTATCGAACAGACTTCGTCAGACAGTCGNTGACTCAAAGACTGATTTTACAGTGTAAATTCTTGGCAGCTTTTCTGTCTTTTTCAACTTAATGTAAAGGAGTAGTAATGATAGCCCCATAATGCATTGCAAACATAAATAAACCTCATTCGTCTTAAGTTACGCGCGTCTTTACAAGCAATTTAAAGAATTTTGTCTATGTATTTTTTTTACTTCCACGGAAACCACTCTTTTTGGGTTCAAATCGCGGGGAAAAAAAAACTTTCCCTAAAGTCTACTGCAGGATTTTTTCCCTTTCATTTTCCAAGTCACTTACCAATTGGCCATGGTCTACGTAGAGGTAGAGATTAACCCCACTGATTCTACTTTCTACAAACTGTAGGTAAGCAGTGTTCCCGTTATGCTCTGCACTGTGTGCGACATACAACGTGGTTGAAACTGACATTAAATCAAGGGAATGTTTAACGAACTGGAGACCAGTGTCACTACTTAATGTTGACTACAAAATTGCGACCAAAGCTATTGCTCTCCGCTTGGAAAAGATCTCGCCAAGCATAACACATCCTTGTCAGTCCGGCTACTTAAAGGGTAGATTCCTTGGAGAAAGTATCAGACTAATAGCAGACACAATGGATTTCATTAAAATAAAATATATACCAGGTATAGCTGTTTTCTTAGATTTCGGAAAAGCTTTTGATTCAATCAGATGGGACTTCATCCAAGAATGCCTTAAATCTTTCAACTTTGGACCAAATCTCCGGCAATGGAGCAGCGTGTTATATAAAGACATCTCCAGTTGCGTCATTAACAATGGCGTTCCCTCTAAACACTTCTACTTAGAACGCGGTATCCGTCAGGGTTGTCCCTTTTCAGGTATACTCTTTATTATTGCTATGGAGCTTCTTGCCCAAAGTATAAGACGATCAAAAGACATCAAGGGCATATATTTCCAGGGAAATGAAGAGGCCAAGCTAACGAAATATGCTGACGACACAACTGCCCTTCTTGCTGATGTCCAGTCAATTTCTAATTTACTTGACTTACTTTTACTGTTTGAAAGGTGCTCTGGCCTAAAAATAAATCAGGCAAAATCAGAATTAAATGCTATAGCTTGGCTCCATACGCCACAGGAAAGACGCTATTTGCAACCTAGAGCACACCTGCCGACTGGGCGACTGCTAGGCAACAGCCCTGCAATATTACCAAATTATTTAAGATAATAATTTATTTAATTATCTAAATCCTCCTTAGCAGCATTTCATGCACTAAACAGTCGAACTTACTCAGGCACTTCCTGAGAACAGAAAACAGCCAAAGAAAATATCGAACAACATGACTAAGACAACTTTTCTGTGTTTCCATCGACTTTTCAGTTTAACTAATCAGGCGCGTATTTTCTTCGCACTATTTTGCAAAGAGGAATACAAAACGGTCAGCATTAGATTCCATACACCGAAACCACCCACCCCTCAACCTCAGCTGTTTTTTGTTTTGTTTTTTGGTTCTCAACTTTTACACGAAGATTTTAGATTTTTAGATTTTTTCATGCTTTATCTAACTTAGATATTTCATCTACTAAGTATAAGTGAAGAAAAACGATCTACAAATAAATATAATGATTGTCCCGTGTTGGAATCGAACCCGGGGCGTGACAACTCATCTTGCCACTACACTACCAAGGCATCACAAGATATGTTAGCACACGTGCTATTTACGAAAATAGAGGTAGCATTTACGACATCAGAGGTACCATTTACAAAAATAGAGGTCATATTTTCGAAGAAAAAGCCATCATTTACGAAATTAGAGAAACCATATACAAAGACAGAGGCATCATTTACGAAAACGAAGGGGATCATAAACAAAGATGAAGGCACCATATACAACAATATAGGTACCAATGACAAAAACAAAGCCACCATCTACAAAAATGGAGACACAATTTACGAAAACGGAAGCACCATAAACAAAGATAGAGTTCGTAAAGAAGATATTAGAGCTTTTCAATTTTGGTGAGAATGTCAAGAAGTGGGTTAAAATCTTTTATGCTAATATTGAAAGCGCGGTAATGAATAATGGTTTCGCCACCAACCGGTTTAAACCAACAAGGGGGTTCAGACAAGGCTGTCCGCTTTCCCCGTATCTCTTCATACTTGGGGCCGAAATATTATCGAACAGACTTCGTCAGACAGTCGAAATCAAAGGGATTAATTTATTTGGAAACGAGGTTAAAATAAGTCAATTTGCAGATGACACTAACTTATTCTTCGCAGGTGCTACTTCTGTAGAACACACTCTTAACACAGTCAGTAGATTTGGTGCCATCTCTGGTTTAAAATTAAACGTAAAAAAGACTAAGGCGATATGGTTAGGAAAGTGGTCAACGAACAAAACCAACTCATTACAATTAGAATGGGTAAACCAAACTGTTAAAATCTTAGGGGTATACTTCTCCTATGATGAAAACAAGAACAAGCACTTTAATTTCGATTTAAAAATTCAGAAATTGCAGACAAAACTGGATTTATGGAAAGCAAGAAATTTGACCCTGTTTGGAAAAGGTTTGATCATTAAATCGCTCGGGCTATCACAAATAGTCTATAGTCTATGTCCCAAATGAAATCAGATGTGCCATCAAAAATAAGTTATTCGGTTT